TAGGCATAAGGCTTGGGTGCCCTGAAACACCCGTTGTGCCATCTAGCTCGAAGCGTGACCCATGACGGGTCCAGGAATCCATGGGGTCGGAGTGTACAGCAAGCCGTGTCCAAGAGGGCGTAAGGCAGCCTCCCTATTATATATTTTACCATCAAAGACGTGGCGAGCGAGAATTGAGGGTGCCCTTTGGGCCAACTTGGCACGGGAAGGGGGCCTTGGGGAGACCACGGCCCTCCTGCAGGACCCTGTGCTGAGACAAAGTGGTGGATTGGCCGGGAAAGTAAGGCTGTGCATGGGGAGGAACCCTGTGTCCCTAATTAGGGAGACGAACCTATGTGCTAAAACAGGAACTGAGAGAGAGCTGTAGGAAGGCAGCGGCAACACAGACCTGAAAGAGGGGCAGAGTAGGTAGTCACCACCCCAGAGACTGTACAGGGGAAAGCCTTAGGGCCGAACCAGTAAGGGAGTAAGACCAGGCTAGCTATGGCAGAGGCAGAGGACATAGAGGACCTGAGACAGGAGAATTTTGCCTGGCTATTGTGGGTGGATGAGTTGGAGGAGAGCACGGCCTGGCTACAGTGGGAATTAGAAGCGGCAAAGACTGAGAAAGAACAAGTGGAGGCAATGGCCACGGGGTTAGAACAGCAGGTACAAGCAGGGGAAAAGGAAGGAGGCTCCAAAGAAATCAGGCACTTGATAGCGGCGGAAGCTGAGAGAACTTGTGCACTAGAACAGTTTATCGCGAACGAAGGCCAGAAGAGCCGGGAGAGGGAAGAGAAGCTGCAGAAGATGCAGAGGGAGATGAAAGTGTGGACGTCGAGGTCCCCTGAAGCCTGCACAACCCAGGCAGGGGAACAGAAGGAGATGCTGCAGAAGTTGGAAGTGTCAAGAAGCCTAACAGGCGTCCTACAGAAAGAAGTCCGCAGCCAGGAGGACCGAACAGAGGGGTTGCAAGACGAGTTGGAGGACTGGCAGCAGAAGTGCATACGTGCAGAACACCTAGCACAAGAGCCGCGGGACAAACTGCTTGAAAGCCATACCCAAACCGAAGAAAATGGCAAGGTGATCATGCAGGAGATGGTAAAGGTAAAAGCTTACATGGCAAACTACAAGGCACTGCATGATCAAAACCTGTCCCTTGAAAGGGAGTTAGAGGCCAGGGCAAGAGAGAACGATGGGTTACAGTTCCAGTTACAGAGTGGGGAGGCGGAAAAAGACCACCTTAGAGAACAGGTACAGTTCCTTAAAACTCTCCTAGAAGATAGCTCAGCTAGAGGCAGTGACTAACAGAGAGGGAGCAGTCACAGCTTCAAATGCAAACCTTAAGGCAGCAGATTCAGGCATTGGAGCCAGAAAATAAAATGCTACAGGCGGCAAGCGGTCAGACGGCTACAAAAGGCCAAGATCCTCGGGAGTCGGAGGTGCCAGAGGTACCAAGTATAGTAACACAGGCAGAAGTAGGACAGAAGGCTCAAGCGGTGAAGTTTGCAGACACTATGCGAGAGAGGCTGGAGACGCTGGGAGCCCAACTAGCGGAGTGTGTGATTATGGTTAAGTCTGAATGCCTAGAGCAGTGCCAGGAGATGGAAGTAGTGAAAGGGTCCCTGAGGGAAGTGGAGGCACAACTAACAACCACATGGCTAGGGGGGCGGAAACCTCCAGAGCAAGTGAAGTTCCCTGGATACCGAGGCCCAGAGGATCCAACAGAGGAGACCGAACCAGGGCAACCAGAGAGAAGCAATCCAGAGAAGGGATCGGTAGGGGTGAAGCCTACAGCCCTACAAGAAGAGGTCCTGCCAGCCCTCCTGGGATGCTGGAATAAGAGATGGGACCAATGGGTCTCATGCGGATGAGATGCGCCGGCTAAGACATCAGCTGGGGGAACTATTCAGACTACAAGCCAAGGGAGGAACTGCAGTGCCAAGTCAGGGGCAGCCAGGGGAAGTAGGCCTGACAGAAGTAGGGATGGCAGGGAAGGGCGAACAGGCTAGCCCAAGGAGTGAGACCTGCCTCTCTATTTGCCAGGACTGCACACAGGAGGCCCGGGGCCTGGGGCAATACGGGTCAGAGACAGACCCCATAAAAAGGGGATCAGTGGAGCCCAGAAAAGAAAGATGGGCCAAGGGGCCAGAGATGAGGAGGGAACGACCACCCAAAGAGGGACAAAAGTCTGAGAAGAGACCTCAGATTTATATAAGTAATATCCCTGGGCAGGTCAAGTGGTGGACGTTGAGAAAAATTATTGAAGCAAAAGTGTAGGGTGTAGCTTATGTAAAGATTTATAAGGGACCTGAGGGAAGACCCACTGTCCAGGGGAAGATAGAGTTCTGGAAGAAAGAATATGCTCAGAAGGCATTGGGGAGACAGTGGGAAATCTGGGGAAGGATTCGGGATCTCCAGAGAGCCATAGGGAAGTGAGAAACCCCACAATCTGCCCTAGGAAAGAGACCAGGGTACACAGGGGTTGAAAATAGATGAGCCAGATGTGAGGGGGAGAAGAAACTCCAAACAGTAGGCAAGAACTCTCTGGGGAGGAGTGAGAAGATCTGAGCCAGACCACAACAGGGCTCAGTTTTTAACGGAGCGGGGGGAAAGTTCCCCCGCCCTTAGGAGAATAGCATAGGAAGAGAGGGTAGACCCTAGAAGGCAAGGAGCTCAACCAACTGAGAGTTAAGCCTACCGAGGCTGGCTAATGTGGGGAGACTGCCCGTGGGGAGGCAACTCCCATGCAATCCCACATGGTGCGCCTTGGGGAAAAGGCAAGCAGGGGGCACCTGAAAACCTCCGCCTCTACCTATCTGAATTGTTGGTGAGCAAGAACAAGAAGCTAAAAGGACCAAGACGAAGGATGCGAGAGGGACAAGAGTGAAGAATCTTCCTAGTGAGTCTGGGTCTTGGGGGGGGGAGGTGTGTCGCAGAGCACTTGGGTGCCCTGCTTCTTTTAAAGAGGGGAAACTGCTAGGGAAAGGAAGTATTTGGAGAGCCGGGATAACTCCTCAGGTGCCGGTTGCTGAGGCAACTAAAGGGAACTAGTGACCCATACCTGCCTAGTCAACTGACCAGAAGGGGCAGTGCCTGGCTCCTATATAATCACAGGCTGGAGGCCAGGAGGCAGTTCCCTGCTGGCAGACAAGGGGGAAGGAGCTCTGCCTGAGCAAGCAAGGGGGAGAGGCCTGACTGCACGAGCAGCTCCTGATACTGGGGTAGGATGGAGTATTCCCCGGTAGGGTTTGAATGATGTTATAGCCGGGCGGCTGGCATTTATGTTACAGCCCAGGGGCTTGAGTTTGATTTATTATTGTATAACACTGGTGGGTTAGGTGAGCCTATTAGGGGATGGAGGAGGCCTCATAGGGTGTCCACGGCAGCATGGGCAACCCGAGCACCAGAGAGGGCACAGCATTGGGGGTGCACCGACCCCGAGCGCCAGTGAGGGCGCGGTGCCAGACAGGGCCGTGGAGAGCCCGGGCACCAGGAAGGCGCAGTGTGAGACAGGGCTGCGGAGAGCCCGAGTGCCAGTGAGGGCACAGTGCCTGACGGCCGTGGAGGGCCCAGGGAGGACAAGGGGGCCAAATTATAACAAGGCCCAGACCGAACAACATCGGTACCATCTGCGTGGCTTGGGGTGTGGTAAAGGGATGGCTGGAGCCACGCATAGCCCATAAGGCTTAGGTGCCCCGAAACACCCGTTGTGCCATCTAGCTTGGAGCAGGACCCACCAGGGGTCTGGGAATATATGGGGTCGGAGTGTACAGCAAACCATGTCTAAGAGGGCGTAAGGCAGCCTCCCTACTATATATTTTACTATCAAAGACGTGGCAGGCGAGAATTGAGGGTGCCCTTTGGGAATGTCTGCTTATGAGAGCACCCCAAGTGATGACAAAGTCCAACGGGCACAAATTCCTCCAGGACCCTTTTAGGCTGGACATAAGGAAAAACGTAGTTACTGTCTGAGCCCCCAAAGCCTGGAATAGACTCATAGTTAGTTGGTTGGTAGAGTTGGAAGGGACCTGAGCAGATCATCAAGTCCAACCCCCTGCCATGAGCTCTCTCCAGAGGTGGTGCAAGACTCATCATCCCAGCCAAGGCTTTGTCTAGCCAGTCTTTAAAAACCGCCAAGGATGGAGACTGTGCAACCTCTCTGGGAAGCCTGTTCCAGTGTTTTACTACCCTCCTAGTGAAAAAACTTTTCCTTGTATCTAATTTAAACTTCCCTTCCTCCACCTTGAAACCACTGCTCCTTATTTTGTCATCTGCCCCCACTGAGAACAGTCCAGCTGCATCCTCTTTCGAACCCCACTTCACGGAGTTGTAGGCTGCTATTCAATCTCCCCTCAGTCCCCTTTTCTCTAGACTAGATAAGCCCAATCACCTCTGTCTTTCCTTATAAGTCATGTCCCCCAGCACCCCAAACATTTTTGTTGCTCTCCACTGGACTCTCTCCAATGTGTCTACATCCTTTCTGTAGTGGGGGGTGCAAAACTGGACACAGGACTCCAGATGTGGCCTCCCCAGTGCTGAGTAGAGGGGAAGAATCTCTTCCCTTGACCTGCTGGCAACACCTACCAAAGCAGCTCAGGATGCCGTTAGCCTTAATGGCACCATGGGCACACTGCTGACTCCTGTTCAGATCATTGTCCACTGTCATCCCCAGGTCCTCTTCTAAACAGCTGCTACCCAGCCAGTCAGCCCCCAGCCTGTACTGGAGCATTTAAACCACCAGCCAAAAGTTCATAAGGATGAAACTGTTGAAACACAGGGAGATGACTAGAAAATGTCAGAGTCTGCACAGATCCATGGAGAAACAAGAACGAGTTTTACCCAGGGAAACGAGGACTTGGTAAGTCTTCAGCATCTGGTCCCGGTAAAGCACCTTGTCTTCATCTTCCAGCAGCTCCCACTCCTCCCGCGTGAAATACACTGCCACGGCCTCAAACACCTCCCGGAGCTGCGGGCACAAGCGTTGCACCATCAGTGTCTCCTGGGCCAGCTGCTCCAAGCCCCCATGGCCCTGTCTGAAATCACTCAGCCTGCAATGAGCTGTAGTGCAGAGCCAGGACAGGCAGGGCTGCAACATCCCGTTACTCAGCTGACGCATGAGGTGGATGCAGCTGTGGACATGGGAGCTCACGTGTCGGCCTCTGCCCAGCCCATCATGGTCTGTCAGCTTGGTCCTTTGAGGCAACTGGACTGGCACTTTTAGGGGCAGGGAGCCCCGTCTCCATGCACTCTCACCAGGCCTTCCCATGCCAGCATGCCTGGTATCTGAACTTGGGAGGGAGCTCCTGCTAATGCCAGCTTGTGCTGTTTGCAGCCTTCAGCATCTCAGGCTTGACTCTCTTCAGATCCCCACATTTTTTATAGCCCCCCTGGCTCCTCCTGCGCTCTGCCCCAGCTGTGCTTTCCCCCAAATGGACCTGGTGCCCTGCTCACCTCCAGGCTCTGTCTCTGCTTTGGAGGCCTGCTGTGCCCCTTCTGCACTGGGCCCGGCTCAGGTGTCAGGGAGCCCCTCTCCTCCAGTCCCCCTGGGCAAGTCCTCTGCAGCTCCAGCTTCACAGGCTCTTCTCCAGGAGGTTTCTGCTCAGCGCTGCTCAGGGTCCCAGCACCTGCGTGTGGGGAAGAGCACACAGGGCAGCGCTGGTGCTGCTGGCACGGGGAAAGCCCCGCTCGTCTCCTGCACTGGCCTGGGACTAAGGCAGACGGAGGCTTCGGTGTGTGGAAGATGGGGGAGAAGGTAGACCCAGCGCATGAGATTGGAGATGAGCCCCAGTAACTCTGTCCCAGTCTGGTGTGCTCATCACAACACCATGTGAGAGCTGATAGGGACACCCCTCCTTGAGAGGGATGTTGGTGCTGTGTCACATCCACATGCTAAGGGCAGGGGATGTGAAATGCAAGGTCAGTCTTCTCTGGGGCATGGGAAATGCTTCCAGGACTGCTGGGAGAACAAGAGCTGCTGATTTTTAGGAGCAACATGTACTGGCAGAGATTTCTGCATGGACGCATGGGGCCTCCTGCTTCTGGACAGGGTCGAGCCACCGCTCTGTACCCGCTCTTGGGGAAGGGCCTGGCTTGGGGCACCAGCCCGAGGATCATTTGTCTGCTGAGAGCTCCCAGGTCTCCTTGGTTTCAGGGGAATCTGCAGCAGGACAGAGCCCTGGCTTAGCTGTACCTGAACCGGCTAAGGCTGCTGGAGAATCTCATTTCCCCATCCCCTGCACCAGCCCCTGACTGTGCATAGAAGGCTCATGGGGACATGAGAAAGGGGCAGGGGCGAGTGAATGGTGAATGCTGGAATGTGAATAAGGTCATTGATCAGTACCACGGCAGCATGACAAAGGCCAAGACACAGTCTGTTTGTGCTGGGAGCTGCACACGTGCAGCGAGATGGATCGGGGCCCAGCCTGGGAGCTGCCCAGCCGCAGGGATCAGAGCTCGGTCCCAGCCCAGCCCCGTGGTTACCAGTACTGCAGCCCTGTCCCGGCTGGGGCAGACGGTGGGCACCCGCCCCCCCGCCACGCAGCCCAGCCACTCCGGCACACGGCCCTTACACCTGGTCCCTCACCTGAGTCCGGGGGGGGCAGGGGCTCCTCTCTGGGGACAGGAGGTGGCTTGTCCCGAGGCCCTGGGGTTTCCCTTTCTCCTGACTCTGCCACAGGCCTGTCCGCACGATGGGCCGTTGGGTCCTCCAGACAGCAATCACCAGGGTCCTGCAGTGCCGCAGTGGACGGCATCTTGTGTGAGGACACCTCCTCGACCTGCACACTCGCTGCGCCCTGGGGACGAGATGAGTGTGTCACGGGGGAGCTGGGACGTGGGCGAGACGGGGCTGGGAGGGAACACGGACATCCCCCCAGCACACGGCGACGGGGACAGCAGCGTCCACGTCAGAGGGAAACGCTCTCACTTGGGGCTTCTCGTCCTGCTCCTGCCCCGGCTGAAACCCCTCGGCCAGGGCACGGCCGCGGCGCAGGTGCGCACGCTCGCCCCCACGCCCGGCTCCGCGTCCCCGGGGCAGGAGGGCCAGGAACGGCTCCAGCACCTGCTCCTTGCTGCGGCGCTGGGGCTCC